CGAACATTAATTTCCGTCCTTCCGAATGCAACACGGAGAGCGGCCTTCTTTCTTTCTTTCTTCAAATATCGCACGTGCCGATTAAAGATCGCATCATTCGCGTCTTTACGTAGCTCGGTATCGATCTACGGACCGCGTGCCGTATGTCGATTCACTCTAATTCTGCATTCCTCAACTACGACACATCGCTTCTTCCTCACGTGCGGATTCCTCGCATGTAATGTTCGATACACGACGATTCAAGTATCGCCGACACCGTGCAAGCAAAGACAATCTTCTCGACACCGATCGGACGCGAACGGTCACTCGTTCCGACTCTTCGTAGGTGACAATGAGTGTTTCAACGAACAATGTGAACGCTGCCTCACTATGAAAAAACAACATATGAAGTATATTTCAATCATGCGTTGAAAATTCCGCCAAGACAACACGTTTGCTCTTCGATCAGTGGGTTAATAAACATTCACGACGTTGCACTCGCAGGCTGACGTTTGCTGTTCCGTTAATCAATTAACGCAAACATTGTCAATCGTGGTGATTACGATAACACTTGCGAAGTCCCTGCACATCGATGAGACACTGTTTCGCGTTTCTTCGCGCGATACTACCACCTCCTCCGGGGACGAAGGACGGTTAGCGTTCTGCGGGCCCGGCTGCAGTGAGGAGGCCGCGATTTCGCGGCAAAATCTCGTCGACGACTGGCGCAGATGTTGGCTCATCCGGGTAGCCGAAGTCAAGGGATCCTTGGGGCGCACCTTTGTCCCCCGACCGAAAACCCTGCCCCTGCATTCAGGTGAGGCAAAACGGGTCACCCCTGCTTCCCCCTGAGTTCCCTCGTCTACGGACAGGCTTCTCGTACCCGACACCGGTAAGGACAAAAACGTCTTCGAGGAGGGGTTCTCAAATCGGAGGCTGCCGCGTCGTTGGTGCGCGCGTCCACTGATTGCATCTGCAACCGGTCCCACTCTCGCGGAACGTGCCGCACGTACGGAATGAGCGGCCGATCGAGACGTCCCGAACGTTTTCCTTTGTTGCGCGTAACGCGCGTAAGTTCGCCCGTCATTACGTTACGCTCCGCCGGTCTCCGATACCGAGTACCTACGTCGACGATCGAGCCTCCGGGGAATACGTTCTATCCCCGACGCTTTTAGAAAATCAGTTTTATACTTGCCAAAGTGTTATAAAACCTGAACTATTATAAATGTTAACGCGTGCCTAATTAGTAGTATTAAATTCCACTCAATATTGAGTAAAATATACCACAAAATTCTGCAATGTTGGACCATACCAGAATTATAACGTACTGAAATTATGACGTATATTGGTAATCTTTAGCGATATATCTCTCATTATGCACATCACTGAAGATTACAACTCGCATAATCATTCCAGTGATAATTCCGGGTAGATCCGGCATGAAAAAATTGTGTGGTAATTTTTACTACAATATTTTCTCCGTGCATTTTTGCTCCCTTGATTCGCTAATTTCAAGAAGAAATACAAATTAAATCAAAGAGGGGAACAAGTTCCGAATACCGGAGTGAAGGATCGGACCAGCGAGGGAATTTCTCTCATCGACACTGCGGCACAGTTTTTTCGTTTCGCCGAGACGTCCGAACGCGATCGGATTATCGCGCGCGAGAGAGTGCCGGTGAATAATTCGTCTCGCAAGCGTCGGCCTCCGCGACGTCCGTACCTTAGCCGGAAACAGCAGAGCGTAGTTGTCACGGCTCGCCCCGAAACCAGTCCGTTCCTCCTTTTGTTCCTTCAAAACCCTTCGCCAACGAGCTACGGACCCCTTTCGATCGTCGACATCGAACGCGCTGGATGCGTAAACCGCCGTCACGCGGAGCGTCGTAAAAACAGCGTGTTCTCAAAAAAATATCCCCTCATCTTTCTCCCGTCCTCGCTGTCTTGTTCTCATCGCGCGGGCTCGAGAGCGCGCGAACATCCTTTAAGGCGTTTCAGAATCAACCGCGAATAAACCCGACGTGTTTATGCGTTCGGCCAACAATAAGATGCGCGATGTATCGCGGCTCAGAGGCGGGGAAAATTTCACGTTACGAGCGAAGCCGCGCGTCTGTTATCGCGTCTAAATAACAGATAGACGTTCTCTCTTTCTCTCTTACGGTTCTCTCATTGTTACGGCAATTAGCGAGACAGGACGGTCATCGGTTTGCCGCGCGAGAGCTACTCCGTGATCTTTTATTCACCATTTCCAGCAAGCGTTTCCGTTGCACGCGTGAAACCTATTGCTATTTTCTCGCTGAGAGACGAGGACACGGTGCGAAGTACGTTGCGTTTTCCTCGCTGGAAAATTCGCTGGGAAGACGCTCTCGCTCGAGGATCAAGAGTGCCACGTTGAGAACACCTGCTCGTGCACGAAACCCCGATCGATATTTCCCCGGTGTTGCGGTCGCGTTGCCTTCGCACCTGAGTTAACGTGCCAATGGGCTACCGGTGACGCGAGGGAAACTAGATAAATAATCGACGTTCGCGAGGGGAATTCTACCGGCGCGATATCCTGTGCATTTCCGACGGATCATGCGCGTCCCGCCGTGCGGAAAAAACACGCGCGCGTTTCTCCGAGGATACAGCCGCGAGGAACCGTCGGATCGTGGCCAAGGGGGAGGGAAACGACGCTCCCGAAATACGAAAATAACGCGTAATTTGCCTGAGGAGGAAAAAGGGATACCCCGAGTGAGTTAACGACCAAGCGAGGCGCCGCCGGAAGATCCGTGAGCTACGTGATCGGAAGAATGAAATGCCGCTTCCGTGACCGGCGAGCAAAGCGTGAATGGCCGGAGAGAGCGAGCAGGGTGCCGCGCGGAAAAAAGGCCGGAAGCAGCGGCGGGTACGAGTGGCGGCGCGAAATCACGAATCTCAAGAAGCGGTGCGTCGTTCCGTTATCGGGAGGTCGGGAGGTCGGTATCTCGGCATCTCCTCCAAGGGCAGCATCTCGGCAGCCGATAACGCGCATCCGACACAGCTACGGTATAAATCGCGCCGCGAGAAACGTCGAAACGCCGATAAATCCCCGCGAGCGAGCGATCGCTTCGTCCCCGCTAAACGAGATCTAATCTGCGAGGCTGATGCACTCTCCGGCGGAGAGGAGCTCGTGACACGCGACTCGTCGATCTTCCTCTCGCGGATCACGCGAGAGACGCGGGCCGCGATTAACCGTAAACGCGCGCGAAGAAGCGCGGCGTGAGAGGGTGGCTGTTTAATCCCGTATTCTCTCTCTTTCTCTCCGCGAGATCTCGCGTGGAGGATTCTCGTAACGAGGAAAAGTCTCTATCATTATGTCGATTGTCAGACCGATAATCGACGGTGAGAGGCGGGCAGGTAGGTATCCCGTGACCTGCAAATGGCGGCCCCCGCCGTCGTCCTGGCCGCGTTCGATGAAATTAAATTAACGTGAAATTGTCAGAGACGCGAAAGCGTCCCGCCGGCAACGTTAAATATAGCCGGGATCGGTTGACGCCAGGCGCCATGGAATATGAGATCGCTGAACCCGTCGTCATCATCGTCGTCGTCGACTTCGTCGTCTCAGGACGGTTTATGCACGAGGTGCGGTGTAACGAACTAATTACACGTATCGTATGTGCACATGAATCCATGGTCGCGCGCGCGCGCAGGTATTTCGGCCCGCCCGCCGGAATCTCGTGAATATTCAACGCGCCGGGCATTAAGTTGGCCGACGAGCCGAGCGGCAAGCTGCGTCGTTCTCGACTATCCCCAGGAAGTCCTTCGTCCCGGAAAATCGATTCTCATTCATGAGCCGTCAATGCGTGATATATGTATACACCTCGGGTTACGACGAGACGGGGGTACGCGCTTAAGTCGCATACGAGAAACGGAACGAGAGTGCATGAGCGGATTAGCGTTTCTTTTTTTCCTTTTTCACGATTTCACGAGGAAAGCAACGCAGCATCCGATACCAGCAAATGCGCCGAGATCTCGAGGCTATTTTATTGTATCGGCAGGTAGAATCGATCACGCCTCGATCGCCGTTAAAACCTCTACTTGCAGCTTCACTTGTTACTTCAAATCGCTTGGAAATCTTCCCCCTCGAATATCCCCGTGACGTCAGCACATTTGAGATATCTTCTATTACTTTGTAATGGATTCGTCTTCAATTTGAATTTGGCGGATAAACGCGAAGAAGATAGATTTTGTCTAATTTTTAATTTTACAACCAAATCATTTGTTGGTTATATATATATATATATATATATATATATATATAATCACAACATAAGATATTATATAATTATCTTCTTTATATATTTAATTTTTTTAATCATAACATTGACTGCCTATATATATTATAATCGTTAAAGCTAAATATTCCGTCAAGACCTTTAAGACATTGCCCACCTTTTCACATTAAAGATCATTGAACATCACCGAGCTCTGTAGTTTAAATTCCCATTTAGATAGGTTATGTTTTCTTGCTACTGCTAACTTGTCCTTCGATTCTATAGATTTTTTTTCATCATAATTTGACAACATTCAAACATACTGCATGCAATTTCATGAGAGCTTTTAGCTTTTTAATTATAATATCATTACTTATATGTTAATATATTTTTGTAACTCTTTCTCTCACTGTCTGTTTACCTACGATATTTTTATTTAGTTATGCATAAAGGCAACTTTCGTTAATAAAGAATATTATTATAAAGATAAATATTTCATGGGACCAACAATGTATCAACTATTCCGGAAGGATTAAAATTCCGAGGATATGTGAGATTCTAGTACCTGACACACCCTGTGTACGGTATAATCAAATAGCTGCGGTGAAATAGACGCTGTGGTAGATTTTCCACTGAATAATAGACAGCGAAGGGTAGTTCATGCAATAATACTAACGAAGTGTCACAACGTATGTCACACACGACGAAAATAGAGCCGGGAATTATCGAGGTGGCGCAGCAGCGAGATATCCGATTACGCGTTAACGAATTAGCGCGCGGATAGTCAAATTTACTTACGACGATCCTGTTCGGGGTGACATCCAGGGGCCGCGCGCCGAGCACAGGGGTGGCGGGTGCGCTACCCCTTCGGCAAGCCTTCTCGTACGATGTGTCTGAAACAGAACCGAAATAACCCACGTGAGTGCGCGCTTACACGGGAGCAATAGTAATTGGCGTGTCGTGTTTCGAGCACGCCCGGTAATTCGGCCGCGCACGGCCAAGTAAGCCGAGAACCACGTTGCAGCGATGATTACATAGTCCGCGTTTCAGTAGTTCCCACCGAGTCTGTCATTGAGCGAGTAACGCGATACGCTCTTTCCACTGGCAGTACGTTTCGTCGCACGATTACAGTTAATTTCCTACGGGCGAATGCGACGTTCTTAAGTCGTGAAAAAGCACACATCTGAGATAAAAATATCCGCACATCGCGGAGCACTTCCTGCCTACACCGGGCATAAATTAGGCAAAAACGGCAAAATTCTTCCTGAAATAGTTTTATGAAAAGGAGAAGAGAACTCATCCGCCGCCCCGGAGCAATTTTACGCGGAAGAGAAAAAATCTCCCTCTGAGGTAATCTTACGTAGAGGAGAAAAATTTATACCGACGTAATTTTGTACGTAAAGAGAAGGGGAAAAAGTTCTTCCTGAAATATAATTTCACGTAAAAGAGACAAATTTCTCGCCCGGAATTTTTCGTAAGAATTAACGTTTAAAGTCCAATATTAGAGTAAACGCGTTCGGAGATTTTCTAGAACTTTTGACAAATCGTGAGGAGGAGGACCAATCACGTCGCGTTTGTCGTTGAAGATCTCGCGCACATCATCGTTACAGATTTCCCCAAAGTCTCATCCCGTTAAGTATCTTCGTTCCTACGCAAACGTGCTTAGGAACATTCGAGAGTTCAAACCAGTTAACGACGACAGTTCTCAGGCACGAAGAGAGCACGAGTTATATTTTACTCCACTCCGGCCAAGTGTACCGAGAGTTAAATGGTCGCGCCACACTCGACGTCCGCTCGTTGTTCGTTACTCCTTTGCACCGGCGAGAGGCGGTCCGTTTCCGGCAACGGAAATCGGCCGAGGGAGAAGAAACCAAAAGCAGCCCCGTAATTAACGCCCTTACAAGAACCCACGTTGCCTCCTAAAGGCTCTCCGTCGGCTTCTCTGTTTACGGTCAGCGGTTTAAATGGTTGCCTCACACAAGAGTCTCAGATTACGCGCATTCTCGGGGAAGGGTCCCTCTAGACGTATACAAGGTGTTCCCAAATTTACCGTCTGAATTCTAATAGCAGAACTTTTTGCCAATTTCTCCTCTTCTCCGTCAACTTCGTGAAAATATTTCCACCATTTATTCAAAAAATATCACCATGCACGCCATCGGAAAATTGTATCTCGCCCAGAAAAATATTCTCTCTCCAAATTTATTGCAGCTTTATATAAATATAAGGTTGTTTAATGTTTAATGTTTAAAAAAACTTTTTCTTATATTTCCCCTTAGAAAAAATATAGATAAATAAGATAAGAGAATCGTTATGTAGAAATGACACGAGCAAGTTTTAGACACCCGGTAATTCAACGGCAATCTCGGGACTTTTCGCTTTCATTCGTCGTCGAGGTGAAGCTCGTTTTTTGGCGATAAACGAACGGTGATTGAATATGTCGCGACCGGTCGTGATGTATCGCGCGTTTGTCACGGCGTTACGACCACGATATAACTTTGCGAGCACGCGGTTTCACCCATCGGTGGTTACGCATTGAGTTCGTGGCGAACCGCCGTCGTGAGTTCAGCTGTAAAACCTTAATGCGTACGTCCCGCCCTTTTTATGACGCGCCGTGCGCGGAAAATAAAGATGTTCGGCGGAGTAAACACTCGGCTGAATTGGAGCAATTCCGGACCGGGCGTAAAGAAGACGTGAAAGACGACGCCGTGTGAGCGTTATGAAGCGCGCTATACGTGGAAATTACCCAAGGACGAGCGGTGGACGAGGGTGCTCATACCGTGCACATCCTCGAGACAAGTTATCCTCGCGGATAAATTAGCATCTCGTTGCGTGTAGAGCTGCATACAGAAAAGATTAACAGTACCGACGAGTGAAATCCGATCTGTTTCTAATCACAGCCAACTACGCGATCATCTCCAAGGATAAAATTAATACATCAGAATCTCCGAAGACCTCACAAGAAGAGACTTTCTGTTAATTTGTTGCATGTAGTACACATATTTTCACACGTAATTGTAACACTATATTTTGATATTTCAATTGAACTACATTTATATATCACATTATTTCCTGTTACTTAAATGAAACTTGAGTAAGACTTTCCCCTGGGACTCTGTAAAATCAAGTAGGACAGGTTAATGTTACTTTCGTTAATAATGAGGGCAAATCGCGTCTTTGATCTGATGACCGCGAGTTATCGACGAGAGACGGTCACGCGAGACGATCCTCGAATCGGCTTTTTACGAGCTTCATAAAAAGCCCCGGGTGCTCGCAGCCGGCGTGCTACCTGCTAATTAATTCCCAGTTTACGGCGCGTCAGCACGAAGAAACGCCGCGGAAACTCGCGATTGCGAGCCATGGTCGCTCCGAAGAGTTTCGGTGGCCCCCAGCGAATCCGCAGGGTTCAGTCGTGCCCGTCTCTAACGATCGGTCGTAAAAGGCTACAATAAAGTGGCGGATCGTCGAAATAACGGGCGCGAAATGCTGTAAGAATACCCCATTCCGGAACGCTTACGACCTTAGAACGGGCATCGGTAGTTTCCGAGAGATCTCGAATTATAAATACGACAAGAACGATCTGTAAATCGGAACTGCATTCCCGAATGCATATCTCGAGATTGCCGTTGAATTGCCAGGTGTCTGATAGCGAATTCGATCACCTGAAATTTATATTACACCGGAATGATGCATGATGAAGACTAAACATAAAACAGTTATTTAAATAAAAAAGCATATTGAACGATTAAACGGATCTAATAACGATCTGATGGTTAAACGGATCTAATAACGATATTATTACGTTATTTTAGTAGAATATACGTTAATTACTTCATGGTCAAAGTGGTCATGTTACACCATTATATTTGGATACCTTATGTGTAACAGCCTTTAGTACGTACTACTCCGATGCAATGCATATGATCGAATTTACCGTAAGACTGATCGTGCTATTTCCGCGTGGTAATTGTGCTTATCTTATTCATCTATATTTTCCTAAAGAAAGGATGCATTTGACAAAAAGGAATGCGTATCTTCGCTTATATTTACATAAAGCAACGGTAAATTTGGAGCGAGTAGTGTACACGAATTGTCCAAAGACGGGCTGTGATATCGTTGAAATCGTGCTACGATTAAGAGCGTGTCGCGGCTATGAAATTATTCCGCTCCGTCGACGACTGGCTAATTAGGGCTGCTAAATATGAAGTGCCCCCCTCTCTTTTGCGACTGTACCCCTCCACCCCCGTGGCCTTGCAGCTGCACCGGTCGCATCGGTCTGGCGCAGTCGGGAGAAACGCATCCTTTGTGCGCGCTCGAGTGGCCCGAGGAGGTGACACACAAAGAGAACTCGAATCGAAATCGAAACGCGTCGGAACGAAATCGAGCGTTATTAGAGAAGAGAGGAAAATAAAACGACACACACATAGACACGCAGGGAGAGAGAGAGAGAAAGAAGGGGACTCTCGCCTGCTCCACCCTCCTGCGCCTCGTCAACCCTTTCGCCGTGATTCGAACGCTAACAATTGCCGCGACGTAAGTCGGCGGTTATTAATGATCGTGAAACGAGGCTGCGCGCTCTCGCGCTCCGAGTGAAAGCGAGTCCGCCGCGCGATCTCGATCGCCCCGGAGACACACCCTGACGTGAAGGAGATCCGATCCCGGGACGCCTTTTCGAGCATTGTGCCTCGCCGTGCAGTTGGACTCATTACCGGGACCATGTCGAATGGTCCACGACGCTGTGATTATTTTTCGTTGGGGGTCGTTCGATCGCCGGGGCGTGTGTGTCGCCGCCTTCACAATGGTAACTCTCTCTGTAATATTACTCACGTCCGAGAGAAAGACTCCCCCTCGTCCGGTTGATCCACGGGTCGATTCGGGGTCGAAGGTGCGCACCTTCGCGCTGATTAACGGCGGTAAAGGCTTAATCACTGCGACCGGGACGCCCACATCGACGGACCGACGCCGGTCAGACGAGTTGATAAAGCCACCGTTGCAGTTATCAACGCGTGAACGATACCTAAGCGTCTTCTCGTTAGTTTACGCACGAGGCGTGACTAATTGCGTGTCTAACAAATTAGACGCGCAGCCAGTGGGGGCCGATGAAACGACGTGAAAAATGCACACGTCGGGATCCGCACTTTTATCCGCGGCATCTTGGTCGTTCCAATTTTAGTTGAGATTCGGAGCAATTAAAATGGAAATCAACGAGGCGGTCAGACAAATCTAAATTCTTCTCTCTTTGTTCTTAATGTTCATACTTAAAAACTTGGCCGACACTGATTCTTTTCCGAATTCACGTTTTATCGGATGCACAGAATTATATAAATGCTTTAATACAGTGAAAGTACATGTAGAAGTGAACTGATATTACTCAATAAATGACGAAAATGATTAAACATTTCAAAATTGACATCTCTAACTGTCAGTAAATATTTGATACAGAAACATCCTGCAACTTGTTCGTAATGTGTCAATGCTTCGACAGGGGAAATTTTAAAGAACATCTTTGTACTCTGTCAATAAAATTTCGAGGTCTAAGAAGATACGAAGAGGTTGCGGAAAAATTTCTATTATTACATTATAACACACTTTGTATATTATGCGTTGCATCGCGATATAAAAAAAAAAAAGTGAAGAAAGAAAAGTGTAAAACATCAGTGCCTCTCGATTCAAAGCGACCCAATTAAAAAGAGGAGAGAAAAAAAGGAGAACTTGTTTAGATTACTCTGACAACGAGATCCGTTTCCTTCTTTTGCAGCGTTAATTAGAATTGCGGCGAGGTTGCGTCGTCGTCGTCGTCCGCATTATCGCAACTCTGAAATTCTCGCAAGCACGAGAATATCGCGGAGGAACTTCGCGGGCGAACAGTACCGGGATCGCTCTCGGCGGTCGACAA